ATGCCTACTCATTGTGTACCATGATAATCATAGACCATTATAATCATAGAAGGTAGAGAAAGCTTGTACTGTGAGTCACATGTATAAATAAGTAGTACCAAACCATGATACTCATGGTAGGATAAAGGTTTTAAATTCTTGTACTGTAAGTACGCCCCATGTCTACACATGTAAACCAGGACACGATATTTATGGTAGTTTAAAGTTTATCTACTTAAATTTTAAGTGTTCCACATGTAGAAAGAAGTTCGATTTCGTATTTGGAAGTTGCCAGAGCTCTGGTTACTTGCATTTATTAGTGAATTCTACGGGAGCGGCTAGGCTTTATATATATATTCTTCAGTGTCAACGATTGAAGACATTAAGACGCGAATGTTTCTTTTCACAAATAAATCAAACTTCTACTGTCTTTACTGCAATTAAAAAATATTGGGAGGGCTTGGCTCATCAGTGGTGAACCCTCCCAGCGGTTTCGCCAATTTTTAATATACCAGACTGCTTCTTTAGAGGTCCAATACTGTATTGGATCATTCTGCTTATATATGCAGCACTGAAGGGGGGAATCTTAGAAATGGTATTTAAGCAAACTATGGACATAAGCTTTTGAGCCAAGCCCTCCCAATATTTTTTCATCGCAGTAAGGAAAGTAGAAGTTTGATTTATTTGTGAAAAGAAACATTCGCGTCTTAATATCTTCATTCGTTATATATAAATGGCGCGTTATGGCTTTGTATTAATTCTTTATTGTGTGGTGTGTGATAGCTATTTATATTTATTATAAAAAGTATTTCATACTGGAATTGAACCCGGTTTTTAGTGTCCCTTCTATTATACCATGGACGCTAGATCTGACCATATATTGACCTAGTACAACCTGGAATATATATAATGGTCAAAACTGACCAAACAAATGTGAGGAGATTTACCACGGAGTCAGATACTTCGGTTCTCAAATCACTTTACTAGGTACCATTCAATAAGAACAACCTAGTTTATGATATTTACAACAATGAATAATATGTGAAGGTTATTCACATATTAAACAAAATGTTAACGTGGGATTCGATCCCGGTTCATGGCTGTCGGGAATCAAAGGTGTGGAATAATGGCGTCCAGACGGCTTGGGTGACAGTAAACAAACATGCCCGGCGGCGCCAGCCGCCGACAAAGGACTAGAACACGGCTTGGTCTGATACCGACCAGTTGGGTGTTTTCCTCTGTCCTCTTAAGATGTATTAAATAAAGTTAGTTAGAAGGAGACTTTTACCCTCTCCTTTCTGCTATTTAGTGATCTTATTTAAATCCTTGCAACAGCCCACAAAGAATCATCACTGCGAATTCTTCTACCGAATTTCGCATCAGTGTTTTGTGAAACTATTACCCGACATTTCTACACAAAGGGTGTTACCTACTTGTCCACCGACTCTTAGTCAAATACTTTATTTCAATACCCCGATAAGTGGAAATTATCTTTATACAGTTGAGGTTCCCATGAGAGACCATAGCCTAGAACATGGATAAACCCGGTATAACCTGGAGGTGGTCTTTTATCAGGTCAGGTCACGTCATTGGATAACTGACTTTCAAATAATTCGAATAATTGGAAACTCTGAGAATTTTGGAGTTTGGTTAATTGAAAACTAAGAAATTTGGAGTTTTTTTTTTCATGCAATTGGAAATTGAGAAATTTGGAGTTCGTATAATTGGAAACTGAGAATTTTGGAGTTCGTATAATTGGAAACTGAGAATTTTGGAGTTCGTATAATTTGAAACTGAGAATTTTGGAGTTCGTATAATTGGAAACTGAGAAATTAGGAGTTCGTATAATTGGAAATTGAGAAATTTGGAGTTTGGTTAATTGAAAACTAAGAAATTTGGAGTTTTCTCGTGTAATTGGAAATTGAGAAATTTGGAGTTTGGTAAATTGGAAACTGAGAAATTTGAAGTTCGTATAATTGGAAACTGAGAAATTAGGAGTTTTTGGATAATTGAAAACTGAGAAATTTATAGTTCGGATAATCGGAAAAGAGTTTGGATAAAGGGAAACTCAGTTTATTGGAGTTCGGAGATAATACAATTTCAAATAAATGTAAATCTATTTAGATTTATTATTGCACAAGCTCCCATCTGCGGTATAAACTGTTGCATGTCTGTGATGTGTAAGTATAAAAGGTTTCTCGCAGTGTCCCAACGGTAAAACAATGTCCCCATCATTGCCCAATCACACGACACTTAATAGAGACGCATCTGTGTCATTGGTTGTCCACTTCGTGATCCTGGAAGTTGTCTTTGATTGGCTAACGTTCGAGGGTGTGGCTTATGATAATCATTGATTCACTCCGATGACTCAGCATAAATTGCCGTAATTAGTGTTTATTTTTCCCTGTAAAGAATACAATGGTGGGATGTCGGGATTCTTGCTACTGCAAGGTTGAACTGCCTGGCCATCGTGCTGCTACAAGGCAATATTGTGCAGTTGTTGATAGGGTCATCTGTTTGGAGAACTCTGTGTGTTGAATTAGCAAGTTTCTACGTCGTTTTTTGCTTATCCCTAGTAAACGTGGTACAGACCATAATAATCAAGGGGGTAGAAGTAGACGACTGCTTTTACTGTAAGTGCACCACATGTCTACATATGTGAAAAGCAGCTCGACTTTTTCACTTACTAATATGCCAGAGCGCCGTTTGATTACTTGCACTCGCTGGTGAGGTTGGACTTTTGCAAGAATCGGGGGTCATTTGAACATTGTTTTTAAATAAAAAAAAAAGTGCCCAATGCGGGAATCAAGGCAATATTGTGCAGTTGTTGATATGGCCATCTGTTTGGAGATGAAATTCACTGTGTGTTGAATTAGCAAGTTTCTACGCCGTTTTTTTTTTGCTTATCCCTAGTACACGTGGTACAGGCCATAATAATCATGGTGGGTAGAAGTAGGCGACTGCTTTTACTGTAAGTGCACCACATGTCTACATATGTGAAAAGCAGCTCGACTTTTTCACTTACTAATATACCAGAGTTCAGTTTGGTTACGTGCACTCGCTGGTGGGGTTGGACTTTTGAAAGAATCAGGGGCCATTGGAGAATTGTTTTTTAAATCAGAAAAAAAGTGCCCAATGCGGGAATCGAACCCGGGTCGTAGCGGTCGAAAACCAATGGTTTAGACCATCCTTCCACCGACCATCTTCTTTGTTAATATACAACATCAATGTGGCATGAACTTCAAAACAAAACTCACAAATACAGTAGAACCTCCATGAGAGGACACTCTCCGGCTAGAGGACACCTTTCTATTAAGGACAGTTTTCATTTACAAAATGACCATTTTTACTATTTAGCAACTCTCCGGTAAGAGGATACCTCTTCATAAAGGATATCTTCTACACCGTACCTATCTATAGATTCGCCTATCGTGCTGCTGCAAGGCAATATTGTGCATGTGTTGATATGACCATATGTTTAGAGAAGGAATTCCCTCTGTGTGTGTTGAATTAACAAGTTACTACACCGTACCTATATCTATAGTTTCGCCTGTTTCCTTCTGATTGGTTATGTGTGATGTTTGACAAGTGGCGTGTTGCGAGAGCTCTGACGCCAAACTCCTCCGTGCAACTTCAACACCGAATTTTCGTCCCTACAATTGTAATTCTGTGAAGAACAAACACATATACAGTGTGATGCCTTAGCGCGCCATCTGTTAGAAGAAATTGAAACTATTTTTAGAGGCGTATGATTATTTTCGAAATTAAATAATTTTCTACTGCCCTTTTTCTAAAGATAAATTAATGGGAGGGCCTTTATTTATCATTGCAGTAATGGGGCAATATAAATTGTTTATTTTTGAAAAGAAACCTACGCGTATAAAATAGTTTCATTTTTTATAACTGATACAGTAGAAGCTCCCATGATAGACAATGTAAAAGCATAGATAATCCCGGTCTCTCATTGGAGGTTGAGTTAGTTTCAGTTTTGTTTTAGAATGGTGCTCGCTCAGGATCATTTTTTTTTAATCTGAAAAAAGTGCCCAATGCGGGAATCGAACCCGGGTCGTAGCGGTCGAAAACCAACGGTTTAGACCATCCTTCCACCGACCCCCCTCATATAGCAATATGAAAATTATAACAAAGAGTAGTGTGTGTATTACATAATAAAATAATATCATAGAATTGCCACTTTCAACAGTAACAATACAACTGAATATATCATACGAGGGTATTCAACCATCACAGAATACTCTGTGAATAAAGAAAATTCTATGAGAGGGAAGTGTTGCCAGATCTTCCTCTACACAATAGCAACATTGAGACAAACAAATCATCATAGAGAAAGGAGGGTAGATGTCACGGAAGTCTTCCATCGAGATTGTCATTGTCACCAAGGATGTAGGACAGTGGGAGAAAGTGGTTCGTTGAACTGGATGACAGGACACTCCTGCCGTGTAGGAGTTCTCACGGAACACGCCCTTCCGTTTCTATAACAATACATCCGGCAACCTTGCCGTGTTCCTTAATTGAATGTCCAGTACTTCCGCACAGTGTCTTCGTCGTCTTTGTTCTCTCGACTTATTAACCTTGACTCAAGTAACTGATTAGGTTGGACCCCCCTCCGGTAGTTGTGAGGTAACAAGTCAAAATGGTACATTACCGATATCACTATATTCATTATACAGTAGTACCTCCTCTGTAAAGAATACCTAATTGTAGAGCCAACTGTCCTTTATAGATAGAAGTTCTCTTACTGGAGGGTTTCTAAATTGTAAAAATGGTAATTTACAAATGAAAACTGTCCTTTGTGGAGAGGTGTCCTCTTACTGGAGGGTTTCTAAATTGTAAAAATGGTAATTTTGTAAATGAAAACTGTCCTTTGTGGAGAGGTGTCTGCTAAAGGGAGATTCTAATGTACTCCAAAATTGAATCAATATACCTAAAAATACTTTAAAAAGTACTCCGCAAAATATTTCTTCACCAATTTATTAGTATTTTTGCAAGATTTCGATTTATCTATGGCCATACTACATTGAAAACATCTGTTCTCGTCCCATCACCTAAGTTAAGCAATGTCGTGCCTGATCAGTACTTGGGAGGGTGACCACTTGGTAACAGGTAATACTGTAGGCTCTTACCTTTTTTTGGGCACGAAAATCATACAGTTTGGGTAGTAGCTAGTAAAACCATATTATCTCTCATTATACTTCAAAATTTTTAAATTACAAAATATTTTCTCACAATGAGTTTCTTTTTAATATTTAGGAAACACAACACAAACTTTGATGCAACTACTACAAAATAAAATACTTTATATCAATAAGCTATATCTCCTTAAGGTATAAAAATGGGTTGAATATTTTAGGAAATATATGTAACAAACATTCAAGGCAACGGTTCTATAGCAAGATTTGTTATATCTAGGATAATGTGCCCATCGTATCCTTAGAAACCAAAGTTGAGCACAAAAGAGCTATATGTAGATAAGTATTCAAGCCATGCTCCCAAACAAAACAACGGTATAGTTCTATGGCAAGGTTTGTTATAGCTACGGTATGCGCCCCTCGTATCCTAAGAAACCAAAGTTGAACACACAAGAGCTATATGTAGATAAGCATTCAAGCCATGCTCCCAAACAAAACAACGGTATGGTTCTATGGCAAGGTTTAGCTAGGGTATGCCCCTCGTATCCTAAGAAACTAAAGTTAAGCACACAAGAGCTATATGTAGATAATTATTCAAGCCATTCCACCAAACAACGGTATAGTTCTATGGCAAGGTTTGTTATAGCTAAGGTAATGTTTGAATGCCCTTCATATCCCAAGAAACCAAAGTTGAGCCCACAAGAGCTATACAAGTATCCCAGTCACGCCTCCAGTATGTACTAACGGTATTCAAGCAGAACGCAGGGAACTCGTCCATTCCAGATGAAGGCTCTTCTAGGATCGCCGTGTCATCTTACGTGACCTGAGTGACAACTATCTCTTTGTGGTGAGCGATATTGTCTGTGCGACCTCGTGGTCCCTTCCACCTTCTCTTTCCTGTGATTGTCGCTGAAGCAAACGTTGTGTATCTAAATACTCGAATTGTAGTAAAGAAGAAGCAAATGCAATACATATTTATTTTTCTCAAATTGCAGCAATATTTCGAGTATTTAAATGTTTTACAAGTCAAACTAGCGCAGGGAAAACTGTAATGCAATTGAAAGGACCGATACATTTTCTCGTTTTAGAGAAGTTTTTCACCCTAAAGGGTGTTTACATTATAGAGAGTTTTCATCAGAGTGACCGAGGAGTTTGTTCGTCATTTATGTAAGGGATTTTTGTTTATAGAATTTCGTTAAAATAATTTTTAGGTTATATAGAGTTTCGTTTTAGAGAGTTTTGTGGCTATTTATTTATTTTTTGCTTATCCCTAGTACACGTGGTACAGGCCTGATAATCATGGTGGGTAGAAGTAGGCGACTGCTTTTACTGTAAGTGCACTACACGTATACCCATATGAAAAGCAGTTCGACTTTGCACTTACAAATGTGCAGAGCCCCGTTTAGTTACTTGCACTCGCTGGTGGGGTTGGAGTTTTGCAAGAATAGGGGGCCATTGGAGCATTTTTTTTTCAGAAAAAAATGCCCAATGCGGGAATCGAACCCGGGTCGTAGCGGTCGAAAACTAACAGTTTAGACCATCTTTCCACCGACCTCCTTTATATTTTTATGATGTGTTTAGGTAATTTATATATTAGTAATGGCAGTAGCAAGAGTTGTATTTATATTTTTGAAAAGAAAAAACATTGACTAAATGATTTTATTTCTTACAAGGTACATAAACCTGTAGATACAAAGTAAATAAAAAGTAAGCACAAAAAGTAGCTATATATAATATAACCATAGTTATAAGGGGGGTCGATGGAAGGATGGTCTAAACCGTTGGTTTTGGGCCGCTAAGACCCGGGTTCGATTCCCGCATTGGTCACTTTTTTTTCTGATTAAAAAAAAAAAATGCTCCGATGGCCCCCGATTCTTGTAAAAGTCCAACCCCACCAGAGCTCTGGCACATTTGAAAGTGCAAAGTCGAACTGTTTTTCACATGTGGTGCACTTATAGTAAAAAGCAGTCGCCTACTTCTACCCACCATGATTATCATGGCCTGCATACCACGTGTACTAGAGATAAGCAAAAAAAAAAAACTATATTTATTAAATACGTATATAGATTTACAAAGATAAAAAAAAGTCCCTCGAGCCGGATTTGAACCAGCGACCTAAGGATCACCGTTTAAACATCTACAGTCCTCCGCTCTGCCAACTGAGCTATCGAGGGTCTATGTAACATGATGGGTAAAGTATATATATAATATACATATACAGTAAGGAAAGCCCTAACCTAAATACAATCGGTTCTCTCGATTCAAGTTTATTCTAGGTCTTAAATAGAGGATTGTCCTAAATACAGTGTTGTTTTAAAATCATTATTAATTAATTTACAAACATATATATTGTATATATAGAAAAGTATTTATTATTTTATTAACCGAGTATCATTTTTTATGTTTATATTTTGTTACTATGTACACTTCCCTCAATGCTTATCTTTTTTTTTTTAATCATTCATAGCTTGCTCTTGCCTGAAATAAATTGCTGTCTCATCTTGAAGATTTCGTCTTCCCTAATTTTCCACGTGGCAATTCTATATACAGTTACGAGCGTCATGCGTCATGTCTTCATCTCTGTCACCGTTTGCTTTTTTTTTTTGGAATGGCGCTCTCCTATTGGTTGGCTACGATCACGCCACCACTACGCGAGACACTTTGTTTTTGACTTTGCCCCCCCCCCCCCACTCGCTTTTTGGTTTTTGTAACTATTGTGTTGGAGCGGGTCGCTCCTTAAATAAATGCATATATTAGTTAATAACTAAATGGAATCCTCTCTTTCTTTTTCGCAGTAAGAGACGCCTACGGAAGCCAACAGTACATAGACAGATAAAGCACATAGGCTATAGTTATTAACTAATATATGCATTTATTTAAGGCGCCAATTTATAATTGTAACAAATAGTATTTGAAAAAAAAAAAAACAATCAATCGGGTAAAACACGGGCGTTGCCCGGGTCATTCGGCTAGTATATATATATACAGTAGAACCTCCCTGTAAAGGAAACCTAATTGCAGAGCCAAAGTGTCCTTTAGGGAGAGGTGTCCTTTTATCGGAGAGTTGCTAAATAATAAAAATGGTAATTTTGAAAATGAAAACTGTCCTTTGTGGAGAGGTGTCCGCTAAAGGGAGGTTCTACTGTATATATAAAAAATATATATACATTTAATTTGAGTTAAAAGCCGATCCATTGAATATAATTATATATATATAAAAAAAGAGACATCCTTGGATATGTGAAATAAAAAAAATCTTCCAAACATTCTGAAGGATATTGCTATCTCTTTGTCAATTTATTGTACAAAAAACTGAAACTTTTAAAGTTTAATTTGTGTACGATAAATTGATAAAGAGGGAACAATCCCTCAAAAAAAAATATATTTTGAATAATAAAAAGTTTTTTTTCTTTTACAGACCCAGATACTTCTTTTTTATATAATTATAAATTTAAGTATATATTAAATTATATAATGCTATATAATGCGGCTTATGATTGTAGAGCGACGTTTGACCATTTTACCGCAAATGTTTCCTTTGAACGAAAAATCTTAATTTATTTTAAGGAGAAATAATGAGTATTCGATAAAATTAGATAAAATAATCCCTTGAATTAATATTAAAATAAAAACATAAAGCCTCCAGGGAAAACGTATTTCAAACGTAGAAGGGCGTACTTGCCCGAAAGCTCGAGATATTTTTTAAATGAAAAATATTTTAAAAGAAACTTTCCCTGTAGGCTTCATGTTTTTATTTTAATAGAAATAATGACTATTTCTATCCTTAGGTATGAAGTATGAATGGATGAATTGTGAAGAGTAATTATGAATTCCCATCCCTGGGCACATTATTTTTCCGTTCATCATTACTTTTCACAATTCATCCTTTCATACTCTTCATCCCTAAGGATAGAAATAGTCATTATTTCTTCTTAAAACTCGCGCTTTAGATGTACTAAATTCGAAAAAAACACGTGAGAACGCCCTTGCAACCTCAGAACAATTTTTAACGCCTTGCCAAATGTTTATTTTATTTATTTCTTCTGACGAAGACAAAATATTTTTGTCGAAACGTTGAGAAAATAAAAAACTCTAACTGGCCGAAGTGTCTATTTTTCATATAAATAGTTCTTAAAATAAATTACGATTTTTCGTTCAAAAGAAACATTTGTGGTAAAACTTGTCAAATGTCGCTCTACGAATATTAAATTGTTGAATTAAAATACATTACTATAAGTACTTCAATATATACTTTATAAATATATTTTCATTCATTCATTCATTCAGGAAGATTCTAGACGAAAATGGGTTGTTTTTCTAGTATGAGCTAAAAAGAATACCAGAGTTATAAGTTCTTTTAATTTTAAATGGTACAGTAGAACCTCCAAGAGAGGACACTCGCGCTAGAGGACACCTCTCTATAAAGGACAGTTTTCATTTGCAAAATTACCATTTTTACTATTTAGAAACTCTCCAGTAAGAAGACACCTCTCTGTAAAGGATACTTTGGCTCTGTAATTAGGTGTCCTTTACAGGGAGGTTATAGTGTATCAGTGATTAAGCTTTAGTTTAAAAATGCCATGTTTAGAATAGATATAGTTTTACGGCGCGCACAAGTCCTTGGAGATATCTATCGTCTGCCTAATTGCGCATGCGTAGTACCGTTGAGGAGCTTCCATTGGCAAATCGGATCTCGGTGTGGGATAACTCCTTTGCTAACGAGCTCTCGAGAATCACAATGGCAAGTCGAAGGTCTCTGTGCTTTCTTCACATCCTTCCTTAGTGGCGTAATGCAATGCCAAGGTCTCCCATCTTCTTCTTTTGATACCTCTTTTGGTTTTGTTTGTATCTTTTGGTTTTACCCTCCCCGTGTGATGGAATGAAGAGAATGTATTTGATGAAATTCGAATGATTTTTTTTTTCAAAGTGAAATTTTTGTCATTTTAAACTGAATTAGAGAGAAATCCAGCAAAAAAATGTAAAATAATA